TTTATACTGGATCAGATTCAGATTATATCCACTTAACCTACCTCCTTTCAAATGTACCAGGAATTAAATCACGAGTGCACTTTTGATCTTAATACTGCTTAAATCTGACTAATCTAGTTTGAATCTGACATTTTTATCCTTTTATCATTATAGTAGGATACTGATTTGTTAAACAAAAACATAAACTGTGATTTTGCAAAGGTGGTTATTTCATTGATGTAAACTAATTTAGTATGTTTTGATTCCTTTCTAAAGGATGGCCAATTAGTGGCTTAAGTAAGTGCATAATTCAATTTTTAAGTGAAACAACTTCCTCCCATTTTCTGCATACTATAAATTAGGGTCACCATTCTACCAACCACACCTAACTTCCACCTTAAGCTTGATTAATGCAGCATCTTTCTTTAACTCTAGCATATTAAGTGGGTGGTTACAATGATGAGTATTTCAAGTGTATTCAAAAAAACGCTGCTTTCTCAGCCTTACCCATTTAGCCAGGCCATTTTAATGAGGGTTCGTGCGTGCTTGTTCTAAAACAGACAAAACAGAAAATGACCAGGTGCAATCAAAAATTTCCAGGCGCTGGAAATTCAAGGCACACGCATCTTCTGACTCAAGGCACACGCATCTTCTGACTCTTAAAATAACTGCACGAAAACTCCCTCGTTATTTTCAAAAAGTGCAGAAACTCCCAAGTTCTTTTGCAGGCCGCCCTCCTAGAAAGGGGAAACACCTCTACTGTTTAAACTAGTTTGGACAGGGGTGGGCAATTACGACAACTTTACAACCTGTGGACATGCCGGCTCAGGAATTCTGGGAGTTGAAGTCCACAGGTCGTAAAGTTGCCATAGGTGCCCACCCCTGAGTTTAGGGGTTGCGCATCTCAATTAAAAAAACGAGTCTGGGTCCAAGAGATTCGATCGACCCACGAAGAGATCTGCCGCCGCCATCATTTCCAACACGCTGAGACCGAAAGGAGGGGAGGGGAAAAACCTCCTGAAACCCGGCCTCATACCTTGCGTTGGGCGCTGGAGTCGTACTTATCATTCCGGAAGGCTTGAGCGTTCCGGTGCCGTTGAGCTCGCGTCCGAGACACGTTCCCTCTCTGCGAGCTCATCTCCGATGCCTCTCACCTCGCCCGGAAGCAAACCGGCTCCTCACATCCGGCGAAGAGGTTTGTCGGAGCGCCTCAGGTTACCTCGAGCGGCAGAGCGGCTGCGATTGGCTCCAGGGAGGAAGGTCCCGCCTTCCTGCCAGGAAACCTGACAAGAGCACACAGCTGGGAGGTGTGATTTTATTGGTCGGCTCCCGAGGGCTACCGGTCAGAGAGGCTTAAATCCCGCCCCTCGCCTCGCTTGGCAGGGGTCTATACCTCCAGCTTCTCTCTGGGGCTTATTCTGTTTGGTTCCCCGTGAGGTGGGCTGGATTTTTTTTTTTTCTCCCTCCCACGGAACGCGCACCGGAGCTTCTGCCGCGCTCTAAGCTTCGTTTTTGTTGTTTTTTTTTTCCCCGAGGCGCTGAGGAGAGGAAGGGTGGAAACTCGAGCCGGCGTTTTAGGCCGGCGTTGGAGCCTCGGCTTAATTGAACCCTTTTGGCTTTCGAACGGCGGCGCTCCCCCCCCCCCCCGAGGGCTTTGGCGGG